CAGGGGTTTAAGTACGGGTTTGATTTATCAGCTTCTCTGTAGCACTGTATTTATCCCTCAGTAATTTCAGGTACTCAGAACAGTATGACACTTCCGTAAATGTTAGTTATGCTTGTTGTGTTCTCAGTCAGGAAGCTCAGCACTGTGAGAAAAATTTTCACTACGGAAACTTAACTTCTGGTTTGTCATTACTTTCAATGTATTTACTTTAAATTATATGTACATCAGACTTGTTTCTAAATTAACGTAGATTTAAAGTAGGTAACGTATAAACTTTCCTACTTCCGATCAGTGATATATTTTTCAGTGTTTAAAGGAAATAGCAGATTAAGTGCAGTTCGCTGGCAGTATGTTACAAATACCGTTGGAGTCCAGCTGGAGTACCCAGCACATGTCTTCCCTGTTAAGCGAAGGCGTCACTGGACACCATTTTTATCATCTGCATTACCATACAAGAAACGTGTTTTAGTTCTTTTAGATACAGGTTTGGCTCTCTTTAGATTTTTATCATATCATATGGTTCTTTTACATATGTACGAGTCTCGAAGTTCATTAGTCATTTATTCCTTTCTAATACTCTCAGAAATCATTTAGACATTGTTACAAAAATACAAGTTATTTTAAGACCAAAGTGGTGTAAACGAATATTTTTTGACGAAGTTTTTCGTCTTTGATTTGAGTGATTGCTGTTTTTAATTTTTGCAAGTTTCTTCTTTCTAGCAAGTTCTACTCTCACAATTATCTAGGTACTATTCAAACTGAGATTCAAATGCTGAAACTCAAGAAGATATCTGAAATTGTATTGGATTCCGTTTCTCCGCAAGACCGGTAGCTGTGTTTACTGATAAATTTCTGATTAACTTTTTAGTATGTTCCTGTTAATTTATTTGGTAATTCTGAACATTACATTTTCAGTGTGATGGTAATGGCTGATACTGAGTCTGGTATTCGCACTGCTTGTGATGTTCAAGGTTTCGTAGAGGTGCTTGCTGCTAACAGCGCAGCCTTAACTAGTTTTATCAGTGATTTAAGTTTTAGTAAACAAAGATACAACGAATATTCTCATTCTGGAGCGTTAAAAGCTGCATATAAACTTTTTGTTAAGGTACAGTTTTACATATATAATATGCCCGCCAAACGGTTCAATCGGTTTTAATTGTTTAGGACGAGAAGAACTTGAGAGAAGCTGGCATTTTTGATTCGTACTATAATGTGATCTTCTATGTAAGCCGTGGGGTCATGTCAGATCTTAATGAAACGGTTTCTGTACTTGCCGCTGTTGGTGAGGTTGCAATGCAGACCAGTTTGCGAATTAAAATTAACACAATCGCGTTTTCCGAAGGTATTATTGGAACGTTTTTTAGGATTTTTATATTTTTATTCTTTTTTTATTATTACTGCTTTTTTTTCTTTGATGGGCATACTATTCTAACATTTAGGTCAGTTTCTCTGTTCGATATAAATGGTAATTTTTTTAGATATGAATATAACATTTTTTTTTGACTAATTCGAGGAATCATTGGAGTTGTCAGAATAGTAGAAGTTTTATGGTTTCAGTTATTTTATTATAAGAATTTTAAGGGGTACGTTATCTGAGTTGGGTTTATCATTAATTAATTATTTTGATATCAATGAAGTTTTTGCGTAGAGAAACTTGAACAGTTGCGTTCAGAGAAAGTAAAATTGGTCTTCTTTCATAAAATATTGGTACGTTCCATCGTAACTTGTATTACTTAAAGGTGGACGTGAATTGATGCTATGGTCGGCCTCCTTCTTGAAGAACATTGCACAGCAGAATTACACCAAATATAAACATTCATTTCATAAAAGCTTGCGCACTGCTATTGAGAATGTTGGGCTTAATCCTCCAGCTGGCGAAGTTCGTTTTTGTATTCTCAAGTTTACTGAATTTTATGGTTTCTGGTTGACATTTGAGAGTAAAAGAAAGTATCACAGTTTAATGAGTTTCCTTTCTGAACTTGAGTGCACTAACGAATTTTGATGTACGGCACCAAAACGTTGCAGTTTTGCAACCTAGCTTAAAAATTAGCGAGCCTTGCTGGGTGCTCAATTCAGATTTTTTTCATTTAATCAGTTACAGCAATGTAATGTAACTTTTCTTTCCAACAACTTTTTCTTAAATTTTTTTAGACAGTAATTGTGAATGGAAGTGAAAGCTCACAACTAACCTTAATGAAGATGTATAATCTTTTATATGATGAACGACTGTTGAACCTCTCTACCTCTAAATGGGATGAGATACACTGGTCAAATCCATTTCTTGAATCTCAGACGACATTGATTTCAATTTCCAAAACTGTTCGAGGAGGTAACAACGTGGTAAGCAGTCTTGTCTTTTCTTTTTCGGGTATTTTCTATGAAGATTTTTGTTTGTTCAAACGTTACAGTAAAATTTTAATTTAAAGGCTGCCGTTGTTGGGATGGATATAATCCTTGATAGGATTTCAAATATTGTACGACATCGAGATGAGGTTCTTATGGCTCCTCGTGATTCAATGTTCCATTTTTTAATTTGTGATTTTAAGGGGTAAAGGTTTTTTGGTGCATGATTTTTCAATTTCACAGCGTTATCTACAAGCTTTGATTATTCAAAATTTACTTTGCTTAAAATAAGATTCTTTGTTAAAGTCATCTATCAAACAGTTATTTCTCTATGTTTCACAGTTGATTCCAACAGATTGCTTTATTAATACCTTTTAATCTAGGCGCGTTGTAACTGATTCGCGGTCAACTCGTGTTAATCTGTGGCCTCTCCATATTAGCGTTCTGGATGGTTGGGACGTTGAAGATCGATATTTGACAGATGTATTTGGATCCGAGGATATCAGCGATGGATCATTTAATCTAATGAAGAAAAGGAATATTGGTCCTATCGAAATTAAATACAGTTGGAAGAAGTTGAAAAACGCTCCTTTTGTGCTTGTACTGGCCATGAAGTCTTTACATGGCAACATACGGGTATCTCTATTGATGGGTAATATTGCATCGGAGCTTTCACTGAAGGGGCAGTTGTTGTGTCATCGCGGTGAACTTAAGGTTTGTTATGCTACAACGGTTTTTCTTTGTAAAATTGTAGCTGGTTCAACCTTCATCTAAATGGACATATACGTTTACTCTAAATACCGATTATTTTTGGAATATCTCCTTTCAGCGCGATTTATCAGTCCCTTATTGTTTGCATCATGGTTCTGTTTCCACGTTTTTACATGGTGGTATCTTTCTCAGCTCTAATTGCTTCGAACCCCACTCCGTAGTGCACTATCCTTCTCCAGAATGGCTCCACAGTTTACAGGAATTGTTGAGTTGGTTTTATAAATATTTTTCATCTTTTTTATGGATTTTTTGAAGATTTATCAGAATATCTTGCCAGTAATTTTGGACGTAAGTACAAATTTGAGGTTTAGTTTGTCGGGGCATAATTATTCATTAAACTTCTTGCAGCCAGCCGGCTAGATTTCGCGTCTAAGTTTGGGCTTCGTCATGGCGTTAAGGAGCACATATACGTGTTATGGAGGATTGTTGACTATTGGAAACGGATAGTTTCTAAGTACAAAAATCGGGTTATTCGTCACTATATAGCAACACCAAAGGGTATCATGGTCACATATCCTGCTACTGTAGTTCGGCCGGAATACAATCCTACGTTACAGCCATGGTAATTAAAGCAGTTTGTTATGTTTTATTTTTACTTATCGAAGAATGATGTCAGTATTACAATTGAAAAAAGTAGTTCTGTTTAATGGTTTTAGCTGGATTTCCCAAGCTTATTATCTGAAATTATTAGGTACACCAGAGCTGTGAAGTATCCAGGCAGGATCGCGTTTACTGGCCCTACATTAGATAGTAAGCTAGGTCTTGTTATTACGGTATCTGCAGCAATTTTTGAAGGTAAGTTTCATATCGGCCAATGAAATTTCATTCTTTGAACGACAATTTTTTTTGCTCTTCGGTATCTAGCGAAATGAAATAAAATTTAGATTTTATAAGAATTACAGTGTATTTTTATCGTTCAATTTTAGTTTTATTTTTAAAATTTTTACTCAAGGTCGTGCCAAAGGTGTCCATAATACAGAAACGGATCAAATTTTTGCTGTTATTGCTATGGATGTTTCTGTCGGATTTCTGTTACGTATCTTGCGTGATGCGGTTCCGGCATGTAAAGAAGTAAATTTTTGGGTACTTTTAGATTACTTCAAACTTTTTGTTGCAGAACACATAAGTGTCACAAATTTCTACCAAACTTTCTTTCAAGTTTTTTAAAATAGGGTTCTTTATAGAAACGCCGTTGTATCTTGTTTGATGATGTAGGATACGTGTTAGCGAGAGGTGTTGAAACTGGGTTTCCTGTGAAAGAGCTTAAGTTGTCAGGGCGTAACGCTTTAGCTGATGCTGTTGAAAGGTTTCACGTTAATCATCTGGAACCGCAGCTTGCAACCCACCTTATCACTAACCCGTTATTAGTTACTAAACAGCAGTGTATAGACTGGAAGTCACGATCTTATGGGCGAATTTTTCAGTACAATGTTACATTCAAAGAAGTGCTGATGGTAATTTTATGCCATCATTTTGTATAATTACCGTTTCATTTCTAAACTATTATTAGAATTTTTAGCCGTAGCTTGCTTTTTATTCAAAAATTTAATTCTTTATGAATTTACGTTTCCTGCAAAAAAAAAAAAGGTCTTTTAGCTTCCATGCGGCGAGGGTGTATTTTCATCTTCCAAATTGGCAAAAGGCGTTAGGGCTGAAATTATTTCGGTTCCTCGATCAAATTTATTTTTAGTCCTTATGAATGAAAATTGCGCCTTTGCACACCAGGTATTTCTGTTATAATTCGTGTCATTTTGAAATTATTTATTTTTTCGACGTGGTCGTTTTCACATCATTAAATTATGCTTGTTACAGGCATTCTGCCCTTGCTCTGTTTTGGATCGTCGTTGTTTACTTTGTTCTCGTTTTGATGACACTGAGTGTGAATGCCCCTGTCAGTGTCCTATATATTCAGAAAGATTTTGTAAAAATTCAGGACGCAATACAACTATCGAGCCGGTTTTTTATTTTCTACGTTTTCTTATTTACTCTTATTTATTTGGAAAGATTTTTTATTTGTTTTTTGGAGGTTGGAGGGTAAGAAACCGTAATTTTCTTCAAGTATCTTTTCGAGGGAAACCAACTAAAAATTAATAAATTTTAATTAATCTTAACTTTGCTTCACCATCAGGACGAATTTATCCCTAATTCGCTAATCATGAACGCATTTACTTCTGACTGTGTCGAAAAGCTGACAACATTTTATAGCTCTCCACCAGAGAACGTGGGCTTTCCAGACTGTATTCCTGCAAGGTCTGATATACTCTTTATTCCTCAATACGCAGATTTATTTTTAAAGTCTCCAGTTATTTTTCTCCTCCGTTTGTTTCTCTTTGCACTTAGGACTCATTCGATTTAATTAAAAATTTTTCAAGAGCAGCCAAATTTTAGGATTTGTTGGTGTGGAAGCATAGTTCTGGAAAGTTCTATAAAACGCATTTCCATAAAAACTTTAAATTTTCAATTTTGAGAATATAGGAATATTTGTTTTTTCTTCTGTGCTACCTGTAAGTCTTATTCAAAGCTCAAGCATTGATGTTCGGTAATGTTCGGTCTCTAGCCGGTATTTTACAGGTGCGAGGAATATCGATCTCTGGATGAGTGCTTGATGGGTGTTGGTTGTCAGTGGTGCGCTACCACAGAAGATGGTGAAAGGATCTTAGAAGAACCTTACTGCAGTGCCATTGATCAGTGCTACGGTGGCGTAAGAGGAAGGCAGCTTAAAGGTGAGTGTCAGTTTATAACTTTGTCATGCGTGTTGGGGAGGATGATATTTTCACTATACTTCAGTTTTGAAAATACTTCAATAATAGGCCTTATTCTTTAGTATTTTAACTGTTTGGGAACGAGCCTACTTAAAAAGTGAAGTGGATGAGAATATTTATCCGGGTTTAATTTCTAACGTCACTACGTTTGGTCCTTTTTTATTTGTGTGAAAGGAACATTCTTAGAGTTGGCTAGATGTAATGTAGAAGTAGTGACTTTATAAAACTGGCATCAGGAGAGTTAGTTTAAACTAAGGATTATTAGTTCAGGATTTAGTTAACAGAAAAACATTGATTTTAAAGATATGGTCTCTTGGAGGGAACATGTTGAGCAATAAAAATTACCATAAGGTTTACAATGAAGAAATGAATATTGAGAAGTAACATTGAAAGTTCAAAATTTTATTTCCAGATATTATTGGTAGCTCTGCTCGTTCTCCCGCGCATTGGTCAATGGCCACTCCCGTTGGTGTGGTAGCTGCCGGAATCATGAGTGTATTTTTAATCATGGTATTGTTTTGCAGTCCTTTCTAATAAGACTTTTTAAAATTTTTTGGAAGCATGATTTTTAACTACTTTTGGTATGATGAATTTAAAAAAATTGATTAAAGTGGATAATAGTATTTTTTGAAAATCCCTCATTTTTTTTTGCATGACTGTCTATTACAAATAAGTTTTTGCAAAAGAATTTTAATCTTAATTGTTTATTTATTAAGTCTAAGTCTAGTCTAAATTTTTGTTTATTTAATTTTATTTATTTATTTTTTTGGTTTGGTTATCATTTTAAAATAAATTAGCTAAAAAAGTTCATGCCTAGGATTTTTATTGCAAAGTGTTTGACTGTATTCCTCAAGAAATGAAAAAAAGGAATTTTTGCGATTTGAAAACTTTCACTCTGTTACTGAGTTAACTATAAAGATTGTCCTTGTGGTTTACTTGTTAAATGCAGTTTCTTTTTTTACACTTGTTTTTAACCGATATACAAGAACTTTTACATTTCAGTTCTACAAAAATTTACTTAGTGTTTAGAACTAAATGCTTCGTATGGGACACTACTGCTTAATCGCTATAGGATCGCTTACTCTTTTCCTAAAACGTTTTTAAAACCTTTTCCTCTGCTCCTTAGCGTAAACAAGGTCTAGCGTTTT